ATAAAGTTAAAAATAATTATGTATGATGTCTAAAGGCATTTAGAATATTTTATGATATTGCTAACTGATAGAAAGCAGCCTGAAAGCAATTCAATATATCTACATCACTTTTCCCCAGTTTGTTTGTTTCTTTTATAGCAACACCATCATTTGTTTAGTAATTTTTTAAAAATAATTTTTAAAAAAAGCAAAAAAAAAATAAAAATAAAAAACCCGATTCAGTGTAGTTACATATTTCATAATGTCAAAGATTAAAAAATAAAACAAAAAAAAAAACAAAAACTGATTAGATAGCAAATAGTTAAAAAAAAGAAAAAACAAATCTAAAAAAATGCACTTCATTTTAAAAAGAAATATTTTTATACTCCTATTAATAAAAAAAAAATTCTAAGTTTCATAAAGAAATCATTTTTAACAAATATGTTCTTATTGGTTATAGATGGTTAAAACGATTATTTCAAAACAAACAAAAGCAATTTTGATAGTTTTGGCCTTCATATTTAAATAAATTTGAAGCAGTTTTTTTTTTGTTTTTTTTTATAAAAGTGGGTGTTGCAGGAGGTAACTGCTATTGTTTAATCTACGAACATGACAGGTAGAATATGCCTTGCTCTATTCAAAAGTATTTTTCACTATATTTTAAGCATATAGTAATATTTTTCCAAAATTTTGTTAATCATTAATTTTATTAATTTTCTTTGATGCTAATATCTAGGATAGATTTAATTTTTCAAAGATTTTTAAAGTGTCTTAAATTTTGTGTCATTTTCCCATTAAAATGGTGGATTGACAATGAATTGATTGTACAAACATTTTAAAAACGTTTTAAACACTTATTAAAATGCATTAACTTTAGGCTATTATTATCTAGCTCCCACCACAAACTTCCTAAAAAAAACACTTTAAATAATTTAAATGTCTTCTTTGAAGTTAAATTTTGGTTTTATTTGAAAATTAATAAAGCTAATCTGTACTAAAAGAAAAATGAATTTCCTCATATAAATAAAGTTTTATGCATTTTTAAAACATTGGCACATTCCCCTTGTCACTCACTGAAACACAATTATTGACAAAAAAATGTAAACAACAAATTTAAAAATCTAATATTTGCCCTAGCAATGTGTATTGGAGTCAAATAGTAACTTTAAAAATGACTTAACTGGATTTTGTAAACTTAATACTTACCTTCTGATTAAAACAATGAAAATAATGTTTATGATTTGTAGCCTGTGTTGCCATAGGTTAACAAATGTAAGTTTTTACTGTAATCCCATGCTAAAAAGTGTGTGAAAAAATGAAATAAATACAAAACACCAACAATACTGTAATCAAGAAATTGGTATTTATGTTCAAAAATAAATTATTTTCAACCTAATATAACCAATAGTTCAAGAATATAATTTTTATTAAACTTATTAGAATGAATAATCTTATGTTTTTAATACTACATTAGCAGTTTTGTTTTCTTTTATTTTTGTTTAGTTAAATGATACTTTTTAAAACTAATACATTATTTAATTAGAATAGCTTTTAATTGTTTTTTATGAATAAAAGGCAATATTGTCTAAAGAAAAATGAATTTTTACAGGATTTGTTTTCATTTTTTACAATTTAAAATTGAATAATATATAAAGTTTTTGAATCTTTTAAAAAGTTCAATTTCGATGAGATAATTTTTAAAGAATATTATTAAGTAAAACTATTTTTTACTAATTTTATATTTTCAAGCTTATTACAATCTGAAGACCTCAACTATTTTTAAAAGAATTTCAATTTGTTTTTATATATGTATAATAGCGATGCAGAACTTCTGAATTATGGATGTTAATCAGTTACGTGCCATGTGTGATACACATTTAGGCGATCATGTATCTTTTGATACATGACTGACGAGGCAGATTTTTTTTCCCACAGTATGTTGCCATTTCTTTCTGCGGTAGACCAGTTGCCATCTAAGGCTATAGAACCCGATCTGTCCTGCTATTTTTAATCATAGCTCGGTGGGGGGGGGGGGAGAATTCATATCTTTCCCAAGGATGTACAAATCGATTAATGTCAATTGGTTAAAGGGTTGTCTCCCCTTACGACAAAAACCCTAAAACCCTAATAAAAATTGTCGTCTGCTCCGCCAGAGATGATTTATGATCACGTTCGGCGGTAAATCCATCCTCAATAAATCGATTAACGTCAGAAAAACAAGACCCCCTGGTTAGGAAATAATTATACATTTTATGCTATAAGTAAATAATATCATATGCGTTTCAAATCAGATTAAATTTGTTAATTTTCCCCCAAAAAGTCATTTTTCAATATTTTACCTTGTTTTTTTACCCCTATAAAAGTATTAAAATCCATTTTTTCAGAGAAAATAAGGTGTGATAAATGACTTTTGCTATTTTTGTGATGATTTTTACTTGGGATAGATAATTTTTACCAGAGTGAACCTGAATTGATTTTATTTAAATTACTCTTCCGATAAAGAAAAGAGTATTTAAGAGAATTATTTCCTTTTTGAACATCGGTACAAAAAATAATTTAAGAATTGCTAAAATGAAAAATAAATAAAAGTCTTTAATTAAAAAAAAAAAAAAATCCCTTTAAAAACAGCAATGAAGTAAATTTCAAAATTGCACAAGTAATTTAAATAAAAAATATTTAAGTCTGTTTTTTGTATCTGTCCAATCTGAAAGAAAATATAATGTTTTGTTTTAGTTTTTAATGCAAGCGCCAAATCAAATCTGAAAAAAAAAAAAAAAAAAATTATTCAATTATCTTTGGCAAGGTTCGGGACGAATTTTCAGTATGTTATTGTTCACTCTTGGTCTTGATGTTTGTTTTTTTAACTAAAATAACATCTTCAGAGATTTTTCTTTAAATTTCTAATTGTAAAAAAAAAAAAAAATTCCCACGTCTCCAAATTAAAAAGTACAGACGAGATATCGAAAAGGGAAGTGAAACAGAACCATCACCCACTGAAAAAAATCTATTTCCACAAAGTTTTCTAATAAAATGACCTATTATTCCGCATACAATTGCAGATTAGGATCAAGAAACCAATTTAAAAAGGAAGCATCATTTCTGATGTAAAAAAAAAAAAAAAAAAAACCCTGAATATTCGAAAAACAGAAGTAAAAATGTGCTAGCAGCTAGCTAGGGGATATCAACAATCTTAGTTGGTTAGGTCTCATTTGTTTTTATTAAAATTTATGATCATTACAAAAACAACAATAAAAACTGCGGAAAGTCCACCTTCTAAGAGGGTACTGACAATCTTATTTGGGTCCCGGGTACAGCTTGACCGCCTCAGTCAAGAATCTGTGAAAGCGCTCGGATGTTTTTTTTTTTTTGTTGTTAATTATCCAGTCCAGTATTATAAGTAAACTTTCGCGCAGTAATCCAGTCCCGTAAGGGTGGCCGTGCTGTACTTGGGACCCAAGTAAGATTGCATGCAGTAGATTTCCGCAATTTTTTAATGCTATTTTTGGTATAATAATCATGCTTTTTTTTTTTTTTTTAAACCACCAATTTGACGATGAAAGGCTCCAAACTTAAAAACAAAGTTTTAAAAAGTCAAAATGTCGACCGGGGTGTAGCGCTAGCCGAGACCCAAATAAGATTGTCGATTATAAACAGTAGAATTCCGAGAATTTGTAATGCTGTTTTTGGAATATTCGAGCCTTTTTTCCCCACCCCCTTGGTTCCTAGGTCCTAATCTGCATTTTTTTTTCACCATACGTTTGAATCTGATATTTTCCTAATTTTTGGCAAATTCTTTCCAACAGGAGGTAGCGATGTTTGGCATTCATTTTTGAAAAACACACCTATTTTTTTTTTTTTTTTTTTGGTGATAACTTTATTCAAACAGGACTAAAATTTTAGGAGTTAAATTATTTTAAAAACGCGTTTTGTTTTTGCTTTTTTAACTCAAATTTTTGTCGGTACTTAAAGATTTTAATTTTTAAAAATATCCAGTTATGAAGGCATAGGTAACCCCACCAAAAAGTCTTCAGAAAATAAGAACCTAATCAAAACTTTACTTTTTTTTTCATCTAAAATACACGAAGTATATTTGTATAGCTTTTTTGTTTGTACAAGAAGAGTTATTTCCCTTGCACTGGCAACGCCAGATGGCAGTATCTTTTGTTATGTAGTTATGACAATGGGGAACTGTTTAAAGTTGTTTACAAAAGTAGGCAATGACGAGACAGCCTTCGTAAAAGAGCCAAAGAAAAATGTATTTAAAAACTCATGTGCAAATAATAATAAAGTTAAAAAAAGGGAAGAGAAGATTTTCAACAAAATGTCTCTAGTTTGACGGCATGGGTCATTAAAAAAGTATTTTCGTCATTCTAAGGAAGCAATGGATCAAACTACTAAAAACAAACTCGTGTCTCTAAAAACATTATAAGAAGTGCACATCTTTAAATAAGCCAAAATAATACTACAACTACAAATTATTGTGGTCCATCGTTATTTTCTCATTCCATACACCTGTGAAAATAATTGACTTCATTGTTATATTCCTTAATTCAATGTGACAAGTGTGATGGACTGATAATGAGAATATCGAGGTGGAGAAAAACTTAACTTATGGCGTTGTCCGTTTCACAAATGAGCAACAATTCTGAATATCTCCCAAATTCCTAATTAATGAGCAGCTTATTATACAAAATTACATACAACTACAAGTAAAAATAAAGCAATCAACAACTCACTCAAGTTAGTGCGTGGAAACAGAAAGTTAACTTAGGCTTCCGGCAAGAAAAAAAGTCATATATTAAAAAAAAAGTAAATGTTCAATAATGTTATTTTTAAAATTGTAACTTACTTATTTTTATGAAAATACTTTAAAGGCCAAGTCAAAAACTGACTGAAATTGAAATAAAAGCAATAATAAATTAAGCCAAAAAGATGAGTTTAAAGTTTAAACTTAAAGAAATTATTAACAAAAAGAAAAAGTAAATAAATTCAAAGAAAATCTTTGATAAGAAAATATTTACCTCTGACTTTTTACTGCCACTTGCTGGTAAACAGAGAGAAGGATCATCACAGGGACACGGACTGAGGCTAACTAACTCAAACAAAAAACACAAAGCAAAAGCAACATATAGCCAATTCAAATTATTTTGACACATTTTGGGACGTCTTTCACTGTTGATAGTCATGAGAGCAGAATGCGCAGTCCTTTTAGGAAGACAGCCGCTGACAAAGTGGATTGCAGTCACAAGTTCTGTGAGAATTACCTCCCTTTGCAGTGAGCAGTTCGGTCAGAGCTATACATCACTCGTATAATTTTGTGTCAGTATGGATGGATTTTTTTATATTTCCATATAAATTACACATGTAATATATTTATGAAAATATATATATATATAATATATATATATATATATATATATATATATATATATATATATTCATACACATATATAGACAGGGCCGGCTTGTACTACCTCCCAAACTTCCTGATTGGATGACCCACGAGGGGCTTTGTAACCCTTGCTATTTTATCAACAACTGCTTTTTTTCTACCAAAATTTATACGTAACAAATTAAACTAAGAACAAGTATTAAAGGATTAAAAAAAACGCGGATTTTGACATCGTTCTGGAGTCATTTTATTTTTCGCCTCAATCCATGTGTTTTTTGTTTTTTCGGGGTTTTTTTTTGTTTTGTTTTTTACAACGGCTTAATGTGACATTAGTCTTCTGTGCCCCGTCAGCAGTCTGCTTTAGGATTTCTTAGATGCATTATTTATTTTTGAATTAGAGTTCATTAAAGAAATGTTTTTAATCTTAAATACGAAAAATAATACAATACTGATATTTCCTTTTTATACTTTCTTTAAAAAAAGTTTGTTAATGCTAAATAAATAAAAATAAAAAATGACATCATAAACATAAAACCAATATGTTTTAAGAGAAAATATCAATTTTATAATTGCATCATTTTTCTTATTTTCTTTAAACAGACTATCAGTTTTTAAAACCGATGTTTTCTAAAAGAAATACTGGTTTTATTTGCTACTGTATTACTTTTCTTGATTAGGATTAAAGAAGATCAATGTACTATTAGTGTTAAAAATACGATATCTACAAAATAAATGTAATGACAAAAGTATGCAGGTGTGGGCTTTAAGAAAGTTTTATTTAACTGAGGATATTTATTTCTGTTTATACAGAAAATGTGGCACAATGCTAAAAAGGGGAAGGTGGAAGGGATGATTTTTTTCTGTCTTAACTTTAAACACAAACACTGACCCAATCATACAAACAATATTCCTTACACCAAAACAACACATTCCTACGTACCTTTCTCACCATATCCACCATAATACTTCAATGTCTCCATGAAAATACTAACTTGTCCCCATATGTACAATTCATCGTCTGTGTGTGTGTGTGGCGGGGGTGGGGAATAAAACAAAAATTTTTAAAACTAGCCCCAGTGAGTATTTACAATATGAAATAAAATTATTTACAGGAAACTAAAAATAATATTAGTAATAAAACCCCCACAATCCTTAAATGTGGCAGAAACAGCAGTTAACTGGATGAAATCAATGCGGGACTATAATAAAATATTCATTCACACCAAGCACTCACACAGAAATGCACTCATTTAGACACAACAACAAATACAAAAACACAAATAAAACAAAAGATGCCCCACATCCACCAGAGAACTAACTTCACTGACCACCTAATGAAAGAGGGGATGCTGAATTAAACTTAAAGAAAAATAGGGACATAAATAAAGTGGGGGGCAATGAGCATATATACCCTAGCTAAGTCAAATGAAAAAAGAAACTAAAGATTCAAAACTAAACCAGAGAGTATAAGGTTCGCATATAGTGTCCTTTTATAGTCCCAGTAAACAGAAATAGCTCTCTAAAAGAGGAGAGTAACAAAACAAGAGGAGGCCACTCTTGATTATTTATAGCAGTAAGTAATAATGTTATATAAAAATGCAGTAAATATTCATTAAACAAATGGTCTTAAATAAGAAAAACAACACAATGAAACCAATATTTTATTTTTATTAAAGCCAATACACTTTCTTAAAGAAATGTTCATTAAAGAAGTTTTTTTAAATTTTAAAAAAGTAATAGCACAATGAAAACCGATATTTACTTTACCTAAAAAACTATTGTTCTTTTTATTAAATCATTTTTATTTTCCTTAAAAAACGATTTATTTTATTGAAGTAGATATTTTCTTAAATCAGTTTTACTTTTACTTTTAGTATTGTATTTTCTTATTTAGGAAATTTATTTTATTTATTAATTTTACTGAACTGATTATTAAGATTATAAGTAATTAAAACTTCAAACATAAAAATATAACTTTAATATATATTTCTATTTTGCTTAATTTCTATTTGGTGGGTTTTTGTCAGGTCCTTTAAATCAAAATTAAAACACATTTGTAGGTGAAATGAAAAAGCTTTCATTTTAGCTTTAATTGAATTCTAACGGATTTAAAATTTATTATTTCCAGTAAGCAAAACATTCTGTGGTGTATTTCAAATAGAAATCAACGGAATCAATTTTTTTGTTCCAATAAAAATAAAATCAATAAAATCGGCCATTTTGACACATTTGTAAGCAAAAGTAAAATATTGGTTTTAAAAATCTTTCTGAAACGTTATTTGAGGAAAATTAGCAAATCTAAAGTTTAATTAATCTGAGTTGAAACAAATATTACTTACTTATGGCATAAAATGTTGTATACAAGTATTTCTTAACCACTGGTACAGGTTTTTATGATGTGTTAATTGATTTATTGACAGCCAGATGACCACTGAACATGTTCATAGTTAATGGTGGATCAGATGATAAAGTTTATATGAGGGTTTTTTTTTTCTGTAAGGGACACAACCCTTAAAACATTTGACCTTTTAACAATAATGTTAAAGTTTATACATCCATACTTTACAAATTCTGCACATATATACACATACAAAAACAAATCGAAATTCTTTAAAAACATTGGGGTCGTCAGATTGTAATAAGTTTACAATACATGATTAGTAAATATAGTTTAACTTAATAACAATATTTCCTAAGAGTTATCACATTTAAAGTGAATTTTAAAAGATTTAAAAACTTTATAAATTATTCAATTTAAAATTGTAAAAAAATGAAAATAAATCGTAAAAATTCATTTTTCAGCAAAAATTTTTTTTCTTCACACAGTATTGTCTTTAATGTATATTATTCATAAAAGCAATTAAAATCTTCTCTAAGTAAATAATGTCTTAATTTTATTGTGTTTTTTTGTTTTTCGATTCAGATTTTTGGTAAGACAGGATCTGATTTTGCAACAAGGTTTGGTGATTTAAATTCTTCAAAAAATTCTGCTTTTAACTAATATAGTCACTAAAAATTATCACGTTGAATTTCATAAAATTAAGTAAGGGGGAGAAACACTTCTAAAAAATATATATTCACCAAGATTTTTCAATAAAAAAATTTCAAAAATAATTCAATTCATTTGTGTATAAGTTCTGAAAATTTCATTAAATTCTGACAATTATTTGATTTTTACAAGAATTTCCAAATTAATGTCTGTCATTGTGAAAAGAGGCTAAAATTTGGAATTTAGGAAAATTCAGTTATGAAAAATTTGGTAATTTTGACAAGGTAAGAAAATTCGGTAACTTTAAAATAAAAGTTGATTGAAAATTGATTTTAGGGCCTTTCTGGAGTGGGAATTTGGGAGATAAGCCCCCCCCACTCCCCTATATTTTTAAATAACTGAAAATTGTGGGGTTCAGATAAAGCCCCCCTCCCCATATATTTAAATAAGTATTAAGTAAAAAATCATGGAATGTAGTCCAGATAAAACTCCTCTGCAACAATAGTAAGGCAATGCTTTCTGGATGGAGGATGGAGCATCTAAGGACTATGCCAATATTTTTAAATAAGTATTTATTTAATTATTATACTTTATTGTTTTCAAGCAAATAAAATCGATTTATCTAAGTTCTTGTATCTTCTTTTCAAATTATTATTTTAATAAAAAAGTAGTAAATAAATTAAGTTTTAGAAATGTCTTTTTAAAGAAACAAAAACTATACAGCCTCATTTCTATTTCAAAAATATAGGGGAGGAAACCCATTGCAGAACAGACCTAAAAATCAATTTTCAGTCGATTTTTACTTCATAGTTACCGAATTTTCCTACCTTATCAAAATTACTGAATTTTCAGTTACCAAATTTTCCAGGCACCGAAATTTGCTATGCTAAAAAAAATATTAGTTCAACCACTGACACAAGAAAAACAAGTTATTTAATCAAAATTTTGAAAAGGAGTAAAAATTTAATTAAATATTCAAAAAATACTTTGATCCTTCCTAACATAAAGATTTTGACAATAAAACTATGTTTTCATAATGTTTGAAGCATGTTTTCATTATGGTATGCTGATTTTTTAGCGATTTCATGAAGGATGGCTAAATAAAAGGAACCTGTTTATTATAAAATTAATGAATAAGTACAGAAAATTTCATTCAGATAATTTTCTTAATTTTAAAAAAAAATTGGGCATCCTTAAATTATTTTCAAATTACCACTACACCCTTGTTGGTTCTGGAAGTAAAAAAAATAAATAAATAGTAATAATGAGAAATGAGTTATTCATGTTTTAAAGGTAAAAGCAAAAGCAAACCAGCTGCCACAAGCTGCATTTGAACTCTGCTCATCCAGTTCAATTACCCAAGTTACTAATAATAACCTATCATGTCACCCTCTTATTGGAATTTCAATCCTTTAAAACAATACATATTCCTTATTAAAACACTAATAAAAAAACTAAAATTTTCACAAAAATTTCATACATTATTATTTTTGTGGTTGTTGCATCAAAGTTAAGAAAAATTCTAATAAAAATATTTTGTAAAAAAAAATTAGAGTTAAAATTAAAATATAAAAAGTAACTAAAAACTGGTTAACAAAAAAGCTGATAAATTCTCTTCTTTGAATTCCACATTTTTCCCTTTTTTACTTTTTACAGCAATAAAACTCAATTTCTATGGATTCAACTGAAATTGGGTTCAACTGGAAAAGCTTGGGGCCAAATTTTTTACACTTATATGAGGAGTCCTTTGGCACCAGTCCTTGGATTTTGATTTTTTTATGTCAGTGTTTTTTTTTTTTCATTTA